TTCATGTCATTAGCACCTCTAGTAATATATTTACTGAGAAAAATGGTGACGTGTTCAATACTTATTTTACCTGCTGTATTTAGGTGWAAAAATAAAAGGGAATATTCTGCTAAATGTAAAATAAATTATAAATTTATCAGTATAGGGGGTCAAACAGGCAGTGGAGCTTCAAAAGCATTGCAAGTCTAATTTTACTTACAATTTTACAATGTATAAACCTTAAAAATTAATTTGAGAAACAAGATCAAAATATTTTGGGGGGGCTGAATATAAGATTTCTAGACTTGCTAGAYTAGCTGATGCTGGCACTACTGTAAGGGAGTAAATGGGAGCTTTAAAGTGGCATCACATTACACAAGAACTCAGCTAGAACACAAATGTTTTTAAAGAGGCAGGTACCTGATCAGAGTAAAAGAAGCCCAGAACTGCTAAAGCCAGCTGAGTGAGGAAGACTACCGTCAGRCAGAAGGAAAACTACAGGAAAGAAATTAACCAAAAATAATAATCACAAGTGACAGATTATGCTGTCACACATTTGATGTGAAATGTTATTATAGGTGCCCGTGTAATTTTAGTTCTCATCATGCTGCCAGTGTTAGCAGGGGTGTCTGCTCAGACTATTACCRTCTTGAGGAGGCGAATGTTCTCTCTGAGGGCTCCGATGCAGCCACAGAAAGTGATGAAGAACATGACCACCCCCACCACAATYAGGATGACAGCGGGGTCGATCAGGAACGTGTCCCGTACTGTATCTGGCAGGGAGACGGGTACAACAGGCTACGTTACGCTGCTGTTCTTTTTTTTTTATTCCTTTACTTTCTGTTCTGTTTTTCTGTCTTCATTTATGTCACTGTGACCCATCTTTACACATTTTGTCCTTTCCTGCTTGACAGTTAAAGCCATCAATGACAAAAACTAAAAAAAAAAATCAACCCTCTAAGCCAGAGACGCAGCAGAGTCTGGACAAACTAGGTTTCATTTTTACTGTGAGCCAAATGTTTAGAAAAATGTGAGGAAAGTGTTGTTTTTCTGTACCTGTAGCCTTCTGGACTTTGGCATACACCCCGATTCCAACAATCAACAACGAGAAAACCTGCAAGAAGACAGAAGTTATTTTTTTCACACAGGCTTAGCCGCAGACAAGTCTGGTRCTCTGCTCATATTAATTATTCTCATGGTCAGACAGCTGTCCTTGGATCTGCCTGAAAGTTTTAACATCAGGTGGTCATAAAATGGCAACCAATTAAATCAGAGCAGGATGTGCCATGGCAGCAGTTTCTTTCAGTTTATTCTGTAAATATTTGCTATCAGGGCTTCTTCCTGCTTTCTCACTCTGTTTTAAACCAACTTTATCTTCTGAAAGTGAGATTAAGTGTAACAAGCCTTTCCACTTTTGCTTTGCAGCAACAAGGTTGCTGGTTGCAATCTGGACAGTAATCTTTCTGTGAGCAACGTTTTATGGGCTTTCACAGCTTTTCTCTGCCTGCTCAGCCCAAAGACATGTTGAGTTTATTGGGCCGTAAATGTGAGTGTTCACGGTTGTACGTCTTTCTGCATTAACCTCGTTTGTTTCAGCCCTCTGAGCACCCCCACACCCCTCCGCCCTCATAACACTCAATATGATGCAGCATGTACTGTAGTCAACGTTGTGCAAAGACATTTCCTCCTGCCACACTCCTCAGAAGTAAAGTTTCAAAGTTAGAAATATACAATTGTATTATCTAGGAAAGCTGAGAGCAGATGTTTTCCATACAATCCTGACGTTCACCAGAAACAAATAACTGAATAAATATTAAACAAAAACACAAATATTGACTTACAGTGGTTTGCATAAGTATTCATACCCCTTGAACTTTTCCATATTTTGTCACATTACAACCACAAACATGAATATATTTCACTGGAATTTAATGTGAAAGACCAACACAAAGTGGTATACAATTGTGAAGTGGAAGCAAAATTTTACATGAATCAAAACATTTTTTACAAATAAAAAACTGAAAAGTGCGTAAAAGTGAGTGTATTCAGCCCCCTTTTCCCTGAGTGCAACCAATTGCATTCAGAAGTTGCCTGATGACTGCTAATGACTCAAAAGGG